GTAAACACAGCGTCGGACGATTTGCCAGAAACGTGATGGCTTTGAAAGTCACAACAATAGTGATGGTTTCGCGGGAATATCAGAGAAAAATATATGTCACATCGGACATGGCTGTAGGAAATTCGCCTAAAATCACTCTTTCAGAGGATGATATCGACGGAGCTTCCTTAAGCGTGAATACCCCTAGTCAACTGACTATTCCTGGAGGAAAGGAACGGAATTGAGCGGAACGAAGCGATCCTTGGTCGAAAGGTAAATACACGCGAATAGCTTATTTCCTCGGCACCGGTATTTTATGTTGGATGATCAAACTAAAAGAAATTCAAAGTTATATAAACAGTGCTCTCGATAAGGACCTTATTGATCCAGACAATGCTGTCACTTTCAAAGCCATCACATGTTTCTGGTAAATCGTCCGACGCTGTGTTTACGTAAGAAATCGGCTGCTTTCGCTCGACCGATTTTCGCTCTGCTGGAGGTTTCCTCGGTGATTTTTCTTGTACAAAGCTAAATTTTGTGGGAATTGACCCTGGTTTCAAGTTGACAAGCAAGGAACCCGGGATTTTCCTAAAACAGTCGGCTTCAAAGTGGTCGCCACATAGCCTCGAGTGCTCATTAACTGGTGTGTTTGTTCGCCGAATTTTTGCAAAACAGTGTTAGCATAAAAGCAGTGCTAACACAAAAGCACAGTGCTAGCACGAAAGCAGTTCTTTGTTCTCCAGCGGTAAGCGATGCCAGGACTTTTTGATTTTCATGTCTGAAGAGTTTGTACAGCCTTAGGCATTACACCATTGAGGCATTTCGAAAAAAAAGTGAAAAAAAAAAACAGAAGAGGGGAATTGATTATTTCTCTAAACACCAACAAAACACGCGAAGCGATCACCACCCAGCCTCGGTTTGACGCTGCGAGAAATTGTTTCACTTCATCACGCATAAGTGCTATTGTTCTCACAATGCTACTGCCCTTTTTGTGTGTGGCTTACACAAAGTGTGTAGCCACATTATGGCACAATCGGATTTATTTATTTATTTATTTATTTTTATACCTGACTACCACTACAGACATGCACCCCAGTGCTATGTGTTTGTGCTAGCACTGTTTTGTCTCCGATAACAATATCCCTAAGGTAAAATTTATAGATTTGGTCTTCAGGAAAAATAAGTTTTTTCTTGTTGCAAAAAGTGCTTATTTGCAGTCTTAACTTATTATGATTTTTTAATTGGTTTGGCAATAAATTTTTTTTGAAAAGATAACAATCTCTTTTAAGGCTCCTAGCTTCCTTTTTCTTTCCAAATATTAATTCAAGACTGAATTACCATTTGCCACCTGCAGTTCAGTTATAATATTTTGTGAAACAAATAACCGAACTGTGTTGTGACGTGGGCTAAAAGTGTAAAATTATAGAAAAAGGTGGGGTATATTAGATAACACTCCAAAAGAGTATGAGATAATTTTATAAGTACTTTTGAAGTTGGTCATCTGAGGATTGTTCCTTTCCATCCTAATGGAGAACCCTTCATGCGTAAGACTTCGGATCATTTAACTCGAAATATAATCAACGACTATAAAATGAATTTTTTGGTATCATGTCTCTCAATTTCGTCGTAAATTTTACAAAGCTTGATACAAACAACTTGTTTATTGTCGCAACATAAATCTTTAAAATGGTATGCTTTCCTCCGCCTCAATTTCATTTGGTTTGCTTTTATGGAGATTCCGAAGGTCCTTGCACCAATCCATAATTAAACGATGTCAAATTAACTGACTTGTTCAGTAGTTCGTAACACCGGTGGCTTGTAGTCAAGATACAAGGTAAACTTTGTTTCTTAGTCCACTCTGGTACAGCATTCATAGCACCATCTTGTACCTGACTTGTATCCATCATATGTTGCACCTATGCCACTTAAGACATCAGAAAGTCTGGCAGGAATACGCTGTTTCTAAGGCCTTGCGAATGGTTTGCGAGGAACCGAGCACCTGTTGTACGTTGCTCCTCCGTATCTTGTCCCAGCGAACACGACAAACTATTGATCCACCTTGGAGTTCGGCAGCTTTGGCCAAATCTTCGGACAGAAGATATTTTCGGCCGGAACATTTACGGCTCCTGTTTTTGGCTTCGCCGCATTTTGTGCGTTGGAACTGCACAACAAAACCAACGCGACGACGAGAACTGAAGGAGAAAAAATTGCTCTTGCTGAGCGCGAACGCTTCCGAAATTCGCTTACATTTCGTTGTTGGTGCAAACACCAAACCCTCAGGTGTAAGCGCTTGAAACTTAAAAGCAAAAAAACTTTCATCGAGATAAACCTTTCTCCTAATTTCTTTTCCTTGCTCTCAGTTTTTGTTTTCAAACTCCGCGGCAATCGGAATGCGTGCGGAAACTCAATGTTTTACTTGTGCGTTGTGGGTTTTACCGCGGTGTTGACCCATGATAAGCGTCTCAGGCGAGTTTTCAGTGGATACTGATCGTCTTCGTTACATTTCGTGGCATCCTATGTCGAATACCATCTAACTTAAGTTTGAAACAGAAAACTTAACAAGAGATTGAAGTCCTACTAAATGATGTAGTGCCCAAGATTAGATTTGAAAGGGTTAAATACTTTTGTCGAACAATGATTAAAAAGACATAATAGCGAGTTTTCATTTAATATTATAAACTATATTATTCTTAAATCATATTATAAAATCTCACATAGTTTGAACCTATTACGCATTTAGTTACAGTGGTGGAAAATTAGGCTCGGTGTTCTGCTAAAGAAATCTGTAAAGTGGAAATTTTTCTGGGCTTTTGAATTGCAGCATTTGAAGTTTTTGTTTAACTGATTAAATCTGTGTAAGTGAAGAGCACACACCTTCTTTTCGACTCAGTTGCCCCTTTAGGGGCCTGGAGCATGATAAGAAGGGCCATGACCGACATGTATGTTTTTAAACTAAATTTCCTCAGGGTAGCATGCTCCGAACCCTCTGATCCAAACTTGCATCTAGGTACTTGCGGTTGTGGCTTAGCAGCACCCACAAGCTCCCTTTCTACCCAATTGCCCCTGAGGTCGATCGTCTGAGCTTAAAGTTCGGCATCGGTTCACTCACAATCGCTGTCGGCTCTAAAGCGCATGCGCGAGGGCAAAGTTTCGCGCTTAGTCCTCAAAAACTCACTGAAAGGCTTATGAAAAAACTGTGTTAAAGGGGATAAGAACTGTTGCTTGTAAACTATGAGAAAATTTTGTGGAGGCTGAGCCTGAAGTTTACCAGTAAGAGTGCCTTAGTGTTCTTATTGCATAGGTTGGGAAAACCCTGCTTTTATAGGAGGCGCCTGTCGAAGACAAATCAAGCGCAGTCCTGTATTGTTTATACTCTTATTACAACAACAACGACAACAATCTTTATTTGTACTCACTCTTGCTCAGAAAAAGTTACAACAAAGAGAATATTAAAAAGTATAAGTTAGAGTACTGGCTGCCTGGAATAACCATAGGGGCTAGCGGAACATAGAAATAATGTCAAAAATTGCATAGAAATAATGTCAAAAATGATCGAAACTTTTCATTGAGACCAACGCCTCGTGGATTTAGTAAGATTTAGCGAATAGAATTTAGGTGAAGCTTAAATCACTTCAATCCCTCAATTTTTTTTTAATTCATGAAGTGTCGTCAATCTCGCGCCTTTCGTCCTACTCCCAGATTATTTTTTGGCTTTATATCTCCTGGAGTAAAAAGATGTTAAAATAAAATTTTCAGAATTTGATAGATCCTCCCTTTTTTTTATCAGATATTAAATTTTCTGGAAATTGAAAAAAAGTTATTTTTTCCCTTTTGTGATGCCTTAGGAGAGGCGGAAATACCGCAAAGTATTTACCTTCCTTTTGTTAGCAAAACTGTAGGGGTTCGAAATATTGTAGAAGTCGAAATTTATTCAACATTTAAAGCCCTCATTGCCCTCAGACAGAAAGTATTTTATCCACTTAGTTACTCCATTGTCCCTGACAGCAAACTTCTTATGCAATTGCATTTAGAAAAAAAGGTTTGTCGTGTATTTATGCATACCGTGTACCATGAAAATGGGGTTGCCAATCATAGATAACTACGGTAATAGGGTCTTCATTAGTAACTTCTTCCACTTGAGAACCTGGTCGATTAGCTAAAGCTATCATTATTACCGTGATAACTATTATTTTTATTGTCATCATTGTTTTATCATTATTTTTAATATGAGATCAGACATTAGTCATTAATTATACATAACCCCTCCTTCAACAGCCAACACGTTTTGACTGGAGCCATCAATTTGAATAATTTGTGACTCAATATTTTTATTTTCAGAGGTTCACCCAAGATGCGTTGGATGTCGACTTCACTGCCACACGGGTATAGTTGGGCATGAACTGACGAAAAGATACGCGTGTGTTAACACGAATCACAGCAAGACGTATTTGTGGCAACTGAGTTAAAATTGCTCATTAACCCGTGTGGCAACAAATGTTTATCCTTCCGGTCCACTATTTCAAACAAAACGTTTCGTCTTACCTTATCGAGCAGGTTATTATGTATGTTTTAGTTCTTGAAAATCAATGATATGGAAGCTGCCCTTGGCTGCATCGGCTGGTTCCTTTCAATCACAGCAGTTATAGGGAACAGTTTTGTGATCATTCTGGTAGCCTTAAGTCGTCGACTTCACTCCAATGCCAACTGGTTCGTCCTTTCTCTTGCAGTAGCCGACACAATAATCGGATTCACCATATTTCCACCAGCATATTTTTGCACCGCAGAGAAGTGCAACATGAACATGATCACGGCATTCTTTTGGTTTTCCCTTCACTCTTCGGTCTCGAATCTCTGCGCCTTGACCTGTGATCGCTACATCGCCATCGTTCACCCTTTAAAATACAACGCTTCTTTTACAAAGAGACACCCTGGACTTGTAATTATGACAACATGGTTGCTTGCTTTTACAATTTCGTCGTCAAATTTGGTGACAAAATACGTGACAAAATCTGACACAATACAGAAGGGTTTATTTTTTATTACCGTCCCTGCATGTCTCTTACTTTCCTGTGTACTACTCTTTTATGCCGTGATTCGCATCATTGTTGTGGCACACCAGCAAAAGCAGCAAGAAGTGGTCATACAAATTCAACTTCGCTGCAACCAATTATCCAGTGTCGGAGAAGACAATGCATTGTGTCGTAGACGCAACAAGAACAACTCAGCTCCCTTCATAATTGCTGTAGTATTTTTCTTCTTGGGATGCTACTTAACGGTAAATATTTTAATTTTGTGCATCAATTTTTCTTGCGATGTTTCCGAAAGAACTGGAAATGTGGTTACTATTCTCCTTATCTTAAACTCCACGGTGAACCCTTTGGTCTACGCGTGTTCAAAAAAGGACGTCAAGAGAGAACTAGCAATACTTATTCGCAAATGGAAAATCAAACTCAACAGTTCTATATAAACCTTAGTATGATAGGCAAAAAATGGAATTTACTTATTTTTCCCATTTTTTCTTTTCTTCCATCATAGAGCGCTCACATAAGTACAATCTCATTATTAATTCTGAAGAAGGCGGCAATGTTTTGTGGTGGTAATTAATCATGAAAATTATGTAAATGCTTTGAGTGTTTCAAAGTACCATTATTACACTCTTGCGTTGCCACCTGATCACGAGAAAATAGGACGAGGAAAAGATCGTCAATTCGTTTCTAGTTCTTCGCTTTTGTAGTCGAAATTTCTCCGTGGTATTTCCAAAATAAAAAAAATGTGTGAATATGTACAGCATGCATTAAATGATCAGGTGCAAATTTCTAATGCAAATGAATATAGATAAAATTCATAAATTAGACTGAGATCAAATGCAACTTATTCATTCTCGACTAATTAGGCCCGGTTCAAACGTCGAACTGTACATGTGCCGAACCTAACAGGTTCGGCATATGTAAAGTTCGACGTTTGAATCAATTAGGATCGACGCTTTTGTATTAGGGTGGACTCTGCCGTTCTATTCGACTGAGCTTGTCGAATAGAACGGCAAAAGATCGACTTCGATTCATACGTCGATCTTCAATGGAAAAGGAAATCTGGCAAATTTGAATAGTTCTTGGGAGAGGAGTTTTCTTGAACAATGTTTGTCTTGCGACTTCGAAATTCCGGCGGAACAGAATTAGAGGTTTCCCTATTTCATACCCTGGCAAGGTAGCTTTCACAGTCGTATTCAAAATTAATTTTGAAGGTTAATTAAATGTAGATACACATATTGACACAGATGAGTGGATACTGCAAATTCCTTTAGATAAATAAGGTTAAATTAAAGCTACTGTATGGACTGATGCAGACCCACTATATTAATAACTACAGAATACAAAGGAATCAAAAAATTGGTAACTACCTATATAAGGCCAAGAGTGAGATCTTAAATTGACCGAGCGATAACGAGGTCAATACGGCTAGGCCGTTCGGGTCGAAGTTATTAAGGTTACTTCTCCTCTTCAGTGGGAAAGTCGTTTTTTCTTTTATTTGACTAGATTGAAGCCAGATATTTAACCTAACTTTTCCCGAAAACAAAAAAAAAAAAGTATCTCCAATTAAAATTAATTGATTAATGGATTAAAAGTTAATTGATTAGGATGTAGTCATTACCTCTTACCTGTGCGAGTCCCTTGGGGGAATTTTGGCGGTAACCGCTTATTTTCATGTTATTTGTACATTTTATTTTTCAAAAGGTAGGGTCGATTCAGGAAAGGTCGATTCGGGTAAGGCCGATTCAGGTAAACGCGCGCATCATCAGATGTAAAATGGAGATTCTGTAGTACTTGAGACCAGAATTCTTGGTTGTGTAATTGCTGGTACGCTTAGCTACAAAATGATTCCAATGTTTTGACTATCTTCAAAATTCTCTTTCCTTTTCTGTTGCTGTTCTCGCTTTGAAACATAGAAAACAACCACTTAACGCTATTCTTTAAAGATATTTTAACCTCGGGAAATTCCAGAAACGATTAAAAAAATTTTCGTTTCATTTAACGCTATTCTCTTTAAGATTCCCAAAAAAGACGTCTGCTGAAATGCTGTAGACGTCACATGATCGTGTAGGCAAATGTTTACAAGTGAACAAACCTCAGGTCAGATTAGTCCAAGGTCATCTCGTCCCTAGAGTCGGATTCACCGCTGGTCGTTTCGCCTCAGTGTCGGATTCGCCCCAGATAGTTTCGCACCAAACGTCGGATTCGCCCTAATTAGTCAAATGATCGTATCGGTATATGTTTACAAGTGTATAGCATATAAGGGCTGATAGTTTCTAAAGAAACTGTTTGGTGCTGCGTCGGTGGGGATAACGAAATAATTCGAATATATCAACAAAGTTGAAATGGTAAATTAGCCACCGTTACGGTTATAAAAGCTGACGTTTCGAGCGTTCGTCGTCGCTCCGACGAAGGGCTAACGCTCGAAACGTCAGCTTTTATAACCGTAACGGTGGCCAATTTACCATTTCAACTTTGTTGATATATTCAAATTATAGCATAAAAACCTCAGGTCAGACTCGCCCTAGGTCGTCTCGTCCCTAGGGTCAAAACGCTTCAGGTCGTTTCGCCCCTAATGTCGGATTCGCCCTACGTCGACAGTTGGTCTGTCGAATCCTCCCTTCCCTTCTTCTTTGACAGGCAGTAGTGGAATGAGAGCTCAGTTAAAACTCGACAAAATGACCTGGAATCGCTACCAGAGATAAAAATAACTCAAAAACATTATCTGAAGGTTATATTTTATTTGCTTTGTTGTTTACGGGGTTACAGAGCGGAGTTTAAACTTCCGTACAAAGCTTTGTAATATTATCCTCTCGTAAATAGTTAAGCTGCCCTGTGATTGGCGTCGTTAAAAACGGGCCGTTGAACGCTGAAGCGATTTCCCTTGGACAAAGATTAAGTTAGCAATACTTCGAGACCAAGGTGGTTTCGATTACTTTTACACTAAAACAGAGTTATGGCAAAGTTTGAAAGAAACTGACTTTTGGAACTGAATTGCAAGGGATGCTTTTAGACACGACGTCGAACATGTGGGAATGTTAATCCCCGTCAGTCTCATTTGAATCAAACGCCAACTCAAGCTTTGATTTTGGTGGGTGACACTTTCATATTTAGTTTTCTGGACTATAAATCTCTTTGTCGATCTGCCTGAATTATTTTCTTAGTTGTTTTTAATCAGAAATTGTTGAAAAATTCCAATGCATTGATTTCTTTGAAGCCTAATGTTTCCTTCTACCCCTTTCGATATTTTCTCCGGAATTTTATTCTATAAAGTAGAACTAAGCACAGAAATAAAAGCTTGAAAAGTGGGCCATGACCACGGAAGCCTCAAGAGATGGAGATTTAGGTGGTTATGGTCTCTTCCGTCAACAGCAGAGACGCCGCGGTGACTTCCCTTATCCCCTTTGAAATAAGAATTACAGGTTGGACGCTCGAGTCTCAATAATCTAGAAACAAGGCCTACTCACCAGAGACTACTTTCATTGATAAAATTCAAATTTGACAGATTCTCCGTTTCCGCTGCTAGCTTTATAAATAGCGGTTTTTTTTCCTTTAAAAGTTATAATACATATCTTTCTTTACTTTCAAATTTAAGTTATATTTACGTAACGTGTAATGTTCGTTCTTCTTCACGCGACCTAACAAGCTTGTAGCTTAAATAATATCGTGTATAAATAAAGGTTATCTACCTATGATCTAAACGGCAGCAAAGCATAAGAACTGGTGAAAAAAGACCGGCCTGACGCGAGGTATTTGTCACATTTCCCTGTCTGTTAAAATATGGGGCATCACTTTTGATGTGCTTTCAACCGTGATGAGTTGCGAGTCGATCATCCATTGAGGGTTTGAGAAATTTCATTTCTCCAAGCCACTGAAAGAAATTGGTCGAAATCTAACAGAGTTTCGTGTTGAAAGTTACTTTTCAATAGCATGAGAAAAAAAAACAAGAATTCTGAGTTTTCACAGGGAACAAAAGGGTGGGAAATTTAAAATGAAGACAGTACTCTTGATTAATAAATTTCTGCTTTTATTTATTACTAAATACATATATATGAACTGCAGGTCTGATTTTCACTATTGCTTAAATAGTGCTTTACTGCGAAGGATCGTGCACATATACGTTTATTTATTACTGTAACATTTCTTATCTGAAAGAAAATATTTTTTGCATAATTCTTGTAACTCATATATCAAGGGAATAGCTAGCGGGGATCTGGGGTGCCCGTGACCCCCACTTTGTAAGCCTTTTATTACATTAAGTAGAACACAGCAAGGAGGTCAACATGACAATCTGGCAAGTACCCTCTGTCTGACATTGTCACCCCCACCCCACCCCTCTGAAAAATCCTGGCTACATCCATGAAAATTTTCATTTCAAGGGCAGGTCCTAAGGCGCTCAACCTCTCTTTATTAACTTGAATCCAAGCTGTTAAATAAAGGCTGTTTAAAATTAAATTAAAAAATGTTACTTACAGTGTACACCTTAAGACGTGATACAGCTACACTTACATTTCAGAGTTACATACATCTGTTTCCACTTACTTATGAATTTTTCCGGAAGGGTAATTAGTCAGTCTCGCTAAAGGTTAACAGAAGCTTCAGTAAACTTGCCACGAGAAATAATCTGCAACAACAAGTATCATCTTTTTTTACTGTTTACAAAGTGCCATAACGATTGTACAAGAAAAACATGTTTCCCCAAGCAACTTGAAACATGGGGTTAAACCAAATGAAACTCATAAAGCCAAGAAGAGACAATGTCATTCCTCTTTTTTTGTGTGTCTCCACTGGGTCAAAGCAAAAGTTTACCTGGCTCACATCCAAACAATTATGGGAGGCAGGCTTATGTTAAATTTCAGATGGGGTGTTTCTAGCTGTCTCATTGAAATGACAGTTAGGATGGTATTAATTGCCACAATCCATATATATATGCCTGTCTGGAGAATACGATAACCTATGGATCTTTGACTGTTGTTATTTCTGCTTTGCTTCAAGCTCTTCTTCAATGACAGCTTCATCCCATGGACCATGTATATTGCTACAGAGATAGAACACAAATGCAAGGAATTAGCTAACCTACTGACCCCCAACTAGAAAGCAATTATTGACTGAATGAGGTTGAGCACAATAATTTACGATATCAAGCGAAAACCAAATTCAATAATTGCTTTATTAAACATTTTTGTAAACAATCTTCAAAATGCACTTTGTGCTGATTTTTCAAAGTTGGAGAACACTACACAGATGAGGGGCTTGGAAACTGGGCAATCCATCACAGGACTATCCCCTCGCATGGAATCAAGTATCACTGAAAGTTTGCTGATACTCGTCAACAGTCCTCCACATCATAGAATCCCTCTTCAGTCTTGAACTCCAACCTTCTGATCTGGAGTTCCACATACTAACTGTAAGGCTACTTAAACAATACAATTTAGTTATTTTGAGAAGAAATTCCATCTTAGAGAGGATTCCTAAGTAAAACCTCAATCACATGACATCTTCAACAAGACTGGAAAAAACAATACTACTAGGACCTTCCCAAAATTATTTAACTCGATCTAACAATTTCCATTTGCTCATTTTAAGCTCATGGACAGGTGTGACCTGAAAATCATTGTCTATTGAGAACAGCCAGTTATTTGCCAATTTCAATGTAAATCTGAAAAAAATCTAAAAACATTGAATCCTAAATTTATTCTTATTTTTAGAATTATTTGCAAACATGCTTACTTTTTGAATCGTTGCAATTGAATTAGCCAGAATGGACAAAAAAATGTTATTGCTAGGTGAACAAGAGCCAGCAACAATGCAAACAGTTGGGAAAGTGGCCATAGCATTGCAACAGCAATTAAAACCAGAGTCCAGGTCACTAGAACATGACTTGATGGTAGCTGCATCTGAAGAAGGTTTAAAAAGAAAGCAATTGGAGAAGTTTGCAAAGTTTGAGAACACTACATAGACAAGGGGCTGCATAGAAACACAGCAATCCATTACAGGACTATCCCCCTGAATCTTATTGAGTATCCCTTAAGTTCAGAGTCTTTTTCAAAAACTGAGTCACATATTAAATTTCAAAATTACCCTTTACATGGTGTAGAACCTCTACAAACAAATTACACTGTAGAACTGAATTACCTTATATTACATGTTTTGATTTGTTATTTTCTTTGTTATTACTAGTTTCTTTGTTATTACAAGTTTTTTAACACCTTCCACACATTTTTTGTCATCAATGAAAGTCTTTTTAACTCAAGGGGCTAATAGGAACTTAGATAAATACTTGTAAAATACTTGAACCATGGGAAAATGCTAGTGACTAAAAATTGTGATTGGTTAGAGCTTTACCTCAGATTGATCAAGATGGTTCTACAAACTTTCTCAACTAATCACAGAACACTAACAGGTAAAAACAAAGCACTCAATATTGCCTTAATTTCATCACTTACTTGAAAAATCCTCTATAATTTCATGAGACAAGATTTGTGTGTACCTTGAGCTGTCTTCTCAGTGATGGAAACAAAGCAAACAACTGCATAGCAAATGTGACAGTGGCAAAGACATGCCAGGATGAGGGGAGACGGGACGCCAAACATACAGAAGCAAAGATGGAGGCATTTAGGGAGGCAGACCTTGAAACTCTATAAAAAAAATAAACAACTTTGAAATCAGGTTACATTAGCTGGAAAAATGCACATAGCTCATGAGTTGCTCGCAGGTCACGTGTGAAGAAGTTAACCAAACAAACAACCTAATCTAACACATAATATAACCGGAAAAAAAATAAACCAACCAATTTTACTTACTGTCAGTGATAGTCTGCGCAAGCTGAAAAGAAACATTCCTCTACCAAAGATTTTAACTTTTAAGATGGGCAAAGGTCACATATTGTTCTAATTACTTACATCGCAGCACGTGTTCCATAATCATACAGAAGAAGGTTCATCCCAAGCATGAAGGTCTAAATAACAAAATATAGCACCACTGAAATATTACCAACTGATTGAATAATCTCTGCATATATACTGAAGTGAAGGGATGCTGCAGAAATTGCTATTCTTTAGTATCACATTCTCCCATTAAAAGATAGAACTCACCAAAAGTTGTCTAGCTCCCAATATGTGCACCTGGGCAGCATTATAATTACCGTATTTCTAGAAGGCAAATTGAGTTCAAACTCCACTGAAGACTACATTCCTCCATTTGGATCTAATTTCTACAATCAATTGCCAATTGCCACATTACCTTTAGCCTATTTTTCAAAGTGAGTCCTAGTGCTCATCCTCACATATGATAATGAGTTTTCATTCAAATGTAAATTAAACTCATTTTCACAAGAATGGTTTAGAACCAGGCCTCATTTTGAAAAGTGGCTATTTAAGGTAAATCAAAAATGGCCTATTGAATCTACATGTCAGGATCCATTCATCGTGTATCATTCACAAGTCAAATGTACTATACTTTAAAATTTTATTACTTAAAATGTTAAGGTGAAGGAGAGATATAGACTGATGTGACTGACAAATGTTAAATACCAGTAAAATGAAACTATGGTTTGGAGCATTCATATGATTATATCATTCTCCTTCTCTCTTTGGTTCAGTTATACTCACCTCTGTTACTTTCAAAAAATAAAAAAAAAAAATAAAAAAATTGAAAGACTATTTATATATTAAGTAAACATACTAACATATTCTTAAGATTTGCCTTGTAACAATTACAAATCTTCAACAGTTTAAAGCTATAAGGATGCTTCAGCTTACTACACAAGCCAAATAGTTTTTGATGTGAAAACATTAACTGTACAGTGCATCTTTCTTTAGCTAGGTCACTTCTTACCGTCATGGCATAGATGGTGTCCGTGCTAATAGTATCAGTTAAGGTTTTTAAAACTGGGGATAGCACATACACAGAGCTAAGCACCACAATACAACTTTTAACATCATCTACTCCTGCAAAAATAAGTAGTAATTTTTAGTACTTCCAACACTCAAACACTATCCTAACAACTAGCTGACAAAATCAAGCTGACAAAATCACATCTCTTTCTTTAAAGATTATCAGAGAGTTCATTATTTTATAACCTACAGTTTTCAATTTTTTTTGTGTGATGGTATTCCTGGAAGAGATTACTGAAGTGTGAGATATCACATGCAGAAGTGAGGGACCTAACTGTATTCATATTGTTCATAATAAATGAGGGTGTTGTTGTTACTTGTGCAAGAGATAGCGGTCCATTACAAGAAACCACTCAGCATTAAATAGGTTTTCCCTGACTGTTGCTTTGCACATATTTAAACTTCTGAATAGTAAAGGACTGAATCTTAAATTTTTATTGATTCAAAGTTCAGCTTAAAGTTTATAAACACTCTCTCAAACAAAAAGAAAAACTGATGGAAGAATAAGAGCATGTTATTCTCAATATGCTTTTAAAATGATCTTACTAGTTCTTTTTGATTCAGATCTTAATGCCCCTCCATCCAAAAGATCAAAAAGAACACATCCTGCCAGTGTCAACAGAGAAGAAGCCACAAACAGCAAAGAGGGTGACAAGTAACCAAAGTCCATGTACACAAAAGCTGTCACAAATATGCAAACACTGAAAAAAGGATGATAAATAACATGTGCAAACTGTAGTACCATTATTCTGAAGAATTCAGAGAAAACAAATTACATCTACAATCATACTTAACAACTATCACTAAATAATGATTTAGCAGGGCTAACAATGATTAGGGTTCAAGTCTTTAAGAATTCAGTAAAATATCTAACTGTCTTTAAGGTATACTCTGAAAAAAATCCTGAGTAGACATTAAATTGTTGTTTGTTTCACCTTCACATGCTCACTAACTGTCTTTCCCTTCTTTTAGTTTGTAACGGGTTACTGGACAAGTATAGGAAATCTTTAGGAGTTATGGAATATGAGATGACAATGCACATCAAAAACTGTTACTTTGATGCTTTTAGCTAACTTTGTCATTAGGCACAAACAGAAAGACATCAGGATAAAGTTTCAAAAGAGTTATTTCTCCAATAAAAGCATAACATTTATTTTTCTTACCTGCTTAGCTGTTGTGACACTGTTCCAGACTCTGAAACCACTGACCAGAACTGGTAAGTTCTTGTATTTACTGAAAGAAAATTTAACAGAAATAATTACCTAATTACTTAACTCTCTTTCACTCTTCTTCAGGCTTGGTGAAATCTGAATTGACCTTTAAATTTCAAATTAAAATATTGAACCAAGGATAAATTAAACCAGAACATGATCAACTTTATTCCAATTCCCACACAATCACATCTTTACCTTGTACTTCCAGATATCTTTTAGGCTGTGCACCAAATTTTTTCAAACTCAGTTTGCATTAATGGCTTCAAATCGTATCCATAAATTTCTTGAGAAGGAATTAATAAAAAAATCAATTGCTAACAATATTAAAACTTCAATATTTGACAACTGGTCATTGTGTGGAATTTCTTTACTACCAAATAGGGCACAGCAGCACCCCAATACCCCGCGGGGGGGGGGACTCCCTTATGAAACTGACGGGGATGCTCGTAGTCTTGCTTAGGGGTGTAAATTTTGGATTTTGGTCTCGCTTAGGGTGTTCCAGGAAAAGCGCCAATATTTTAAGCCGCCAAGGTCTCGTTTAGGGTTCCGTGAAGAAATACAGAATTACGCAAAGAGAAACAGAAGTAAAATTTTCTTTTTAACTTGTTTTGTTTACCGTATTACCTCAACATTAACTAGTTTTCTATTTCCCCAAGTGTCAGAGAGACAATGCATGAACATGAGCGGTCACTTTTAGGGGTCAAAATTTGCTTAACCCACGCCCAGATGGTCTCCTTTAGGGGTTAAATTTAAAATTTCTGACGAGCATC